TTTCTTTTGAGTTGTGAAACTCCCTCAAGTGCATGATGCCCTGTGGATAGTATGTTTTTTTCTTTTAAATACAGTTTAATGGCATGATTTTAAGGGTCCAGCTCGTTATCATCTCCATTTCTTTTTGTGACCTCGGCATAGGACTCAATACTCAGGACCTTGTCAAGTTCTTGCGGCGCCATTTGTTTTAAGATATTTCCAAGATGGCGGGACTGGCACCGCCTTCGTAAGACCTTCGTTCATTCACTATTTTGTGCAGTGTGGCGTATTTTGACTATGTTTATTCACAGCGACAGAGTTGAGCTCTTTTGTTGCCTCGTTTGAAACTACCAGAAACCTGGAAACATCTACCTTCTTGAGATGGCTCTGAATTTGTTGTTGTGTGGTTTCCGTTTGTTTATGTTTTACTGGACTCGATATCATACGGATCTTGAGCTGATGTTGAAGAAAAATCGCCAAAATATTCGTCAAAATGGACACTGAAAGTTGGAAACTTCCATTGAAGTAGGCTTTCAGCCTGCAGGAGCTCATAATAGACATTCGGAAACTGTAATTACTTGAATTTGTCAATTTTTTTTGGAAAAAAAAAACTACAATAACACCAAAGTTTTGGCAATAGTAGTTGCAAAATTCTCCACACAATGGCTTTTTGCTTTCCATTTCCCTGAAATTTTATTGATTACTTTAAACTAATCTTGAAATCTGATTGTTTGTTTTGTTTTACTGTCCCATTCTCATTGGCTGAGAAAAAGATGCGATTTAGGGCAAAAAATAGTGCGATTCGTGAATAAATCGCACCACTGAGAGCCAATCAGATTGCAAGGATAACCAGTGATTTCAAAATGGATTTAATAAAGAAAACTAAACCGACTAAAAATGCGAAAGCGAAGAAAAATTGACCGCGTTTACAAATCCTAATGGAGTCAAGAGGAAGACTTGGAAAAGAGTTTGAATCAAATCAGCGTTTTTTAACCTCAGTAATTGCATGAATTTGAGTTGAGCAACTTTCAATTTGGAAATAGTTTGGCACATTCACAAAAAATAGCTAGATACCAGTTGACATACCTGACCACACATCAGCTTTTATAAGGCCGCGGGTCCACGGCCACACTTTAACAAATTTATATCAGTGTTTTATGCGTCTGTTCTCTTATATATGAGAAATTGCATCATAACATTTTCAAAGTGGCTGAGGAACCACAAGCCGCGGGCGAGTGGTTCCGCAGTAAACTTGGACAATGTCAGACGCAATTTATCATCAATAAGAGGACAGACGCATAAAAAACTGACGTCAATTTGCTTTTTACAACAAGACTCCAAAATGGTCAAACGCCGGGAATAAATGAGGGGGAAAGACGCCGTAAACTTGCCGTAAACAAAGATAGTGAATTTTATTCAAAATGACGCGAAAATTGTCAATAGCTTTTCTTCCTTTTTGATTAGCTACTTAAAAAAGTCAATAAAGTCTCATTGGTTAAAAAGTTGACAGTTTGAAAGCTGGAAGTTGAAAGCTCGCATAAATTAAAATTTTATCCTTCAATCAGCGCGCGCGCGCGCGCGAGAAATTAGACAGTTATTGTAAAAAGAAAAAAGCGTTTTTAGAAGTATCCGTTTTCGTCTCACCGAAAACGACGCTATACGGTTTCTTCTATCGTCCAAACTGTAACTTCCTTAAAGCTGATGGAAACAATAGTCAGGTATATGACGCTTTTTTCGTCACCGTTTTCAAAAGCCTACACTTTCACCTGTCCACCCTAAAAACGTATCTTTTTTAAAAGGCTGCAATTTTGAAACCGTTTTCGAAAGCTTCCGTTTTCATCAGCGTCTGCTTGGGACGTTTTACTATGCGAAAACGCATCAAAAAGTATGCTTTGTCATACGAAAACGCATTAGTGTAGTCGGGGCCAAAAGGTTGCAACTGTGACCGCTTTTAACAAGTGTTGGAATTAACTCAAATCTTTTCGTCCAGTTGGCAAGTTTTTTTCATAATAAAACCTGTCCTAAGATCGCGACCGTATTGCAAAATATCCCAATTCACCTGCAAGAACAAATTTAAGTCATTTTAATATTTACCGTATCTTTTCTTCTTGAGGGCGGAGCCCGTTGCTTCATCCTGCAGCAGGAGAAATGAGAAAAAAACCTGGTCGGACTTAATGAAATGTTATGAAAATAATAAAATCGTATCTTCCTTTTCCCGTTTATAGGGTTTTAATCAAAATATGCCAATAATATTCAATTTCAGAGAGTGTCTTTTGCTATCTTGGCTGAAACAGTGAATAGCAATATTGCATATTAATCGTTTTTAATCTCAATTTTCCAAGAGCAATCCTGTTGTTTCTTTTTTCACTTTAGCAAACTATTATTCAAGGCTTCTTTTTGTTTGAAGGTTATTTTGGACAACGAACAACAAATGAAGTAGGGCGTGCGACGTGGCCCCTTAAACAAAATGAATTTTGTATCTAAGTATTTTGGGGTACTTACATTGCTTAGCATGAAGCACAGCCGTAAAACCAACAACAGTTTTCCATTCATGATGTACGACGTCAACGCGTTATCTCAGTGTAAAATGGGAATTCGTATTGTTGCAAGCGGATCAAGGCAGCTAGTTTCAAAGAAACTATGGTGTAGCAGCGTCGCCAGTGAGAAGGCTGAAATGCTCAGTTTTTTAGGATATAAAGTAAATTAAACGCAGTTTAGATTGAATAATCAGTCCCTACAATTGGTTTGTTCGTCACTTGTCAAAGCAGTATGATTGCTCAACTGTAAACAAATTAAAATGAGAGAGTTCCCTTGATTCAGCTTTAAAAACTGCCAATCTAATGTGTGTTAAGTGAATAAAAATGGTGAAATTTTTTGACACCTGCCAATCTAATTATTGCAAGTAAAGTGGATTTTCATAATTTGCCATACATGATGAGAAAATAGCTCGCTTTCGATAACTTCAATTTTCAATGCTGTAAAAATATTTTTAAAAAAACGGATCGTAAGCAAACAGATCCTAGCTTTCCTCTCCGTATGAATCTGTTTCTGAGGCATCAGGTGTTGAAGAAAGGCATGCATTTGTTTACGACACCTGTTACATCCAAGTCATGCAAATTTTTTGGATTGCTCTGATAGCGTGTTCATAACAGCACGTTTTAATGAAGTGAGTGTTTAGACGTTAAACACTTATATAAGCAATGACGATCGCGACCCCGAGGACAACACCTATTAAAAAGTGAATTTATCTTGTAGCAATACAATACATCTTTTATTTAAACAAGGTGGGTTTTAAATCTAATATAGCTTATGGGGCCGTGCGAAAAAAATGTAGTTAATAGCATATTAAAAAGTTGAAAAATGCAAAAAGATGTGAATAAAATCAATAAAAGACGAAATCACTGTCAATCTGGGGACTCATTTACGGAGACTCTTCACTAAAGTTCAAGTTTCTGAGGGCGGGAGACTTTTTGCCCTTTTAGCATAATCTCTGGCGCTGACAGCGGATGGTTCTAAAAGTTTCCAAACGATGGATCCTCCGTGTATGATATTTAAGAAATAGAAAACATGTACCGTGTTTCTATTGAGTTATAGAAACACGAGTGGAAGTTTGGGAGAACGAGAAATGCTGTGGGAACACGAGCTGCAGGCGAGTGTTTCCACAACTTCTTCGAGTTCTCCCAAACTTTCACGAGTGTTTCTATAACTCGATAGAAACACGGAGAACATGTTTTCTAATTCTTTTAGAAAACACCGCGCCGAAAAAAGGAAAACAACTTGTTAACTTTGATTATCAAAGGGTAAATTCTCTTTGTTCGCGCCATCATTACGTCAACAGCTCGTGCTAGTTCTTGTTTCTATCGAGTTGTGGAAACACGATTTTTGACCAATCAGGGCGCGTATTTTCTTAGGACTGTTTTCTAAAGAGTTTTTCATATAATAAGTTTCGAAACGTTGCACGCTAATACGATGTTAAATTCGGAACTTTCGAGTTAGGCAATTGTCTAGATCTGTTTAGTACCTCTATCGGTATCAGAAGTTACTCAAGCTAAATATGTAACGCCAAGAGTCTAATCCAAATGAAAATACGAAACATTAGCCGCTGTCGTTTGCGTTCTCCACAATACACAGAACGTAGTCATTTCGCACGTTGCTGTTGTGCAGAGGAAGGCAAAGAAATGTACAAAGATTTATAACGCACGTGCACTGAGCCATTGTTCTAGTTATTAAAACTTTTGTTTGGTGACGTTCTTGTTGCTGTTGTTGTCGTGGTTTGCTTAAGCTCTCTATCAATATTACGTTTATGTTAGCATCACTGAACTGTGCAGTTACAACGGATAACACACGCCGACGATAGGTTTTATTCACTCATGTAATTACAATCAGCGACTTACATCTCTTAACCCGTCCTCCAGCTAAACGGGCTTTAATAATCTCTGCCAGCAATCGAGCTTGATTTCTAAACTGTTACTGAGGATTTTTGTTGCTGTACGTTGGACGCGGGAGTGGAGGCGCGGTGTCTTCGATCATAGTTAGTGCGTTCGACTTCGGAAATGATTCTGGATTTTCCTTAAACCACCCGTATTTCGTCACCAAGTTGATTTATAGCCATTCCAAGAGCTAGCGAATGAGAGGTGACGTAATCTACTATAATTTATGATCTCGCTACTTGGCAATTTTAATGTATCATACTTAGAATTTTGATTTTGCACATTGTGAATAGAAAGTACATAAAACAAAGTAAACCGTATCATTTGCCACGATGTCTTTAATATATGAGGACGGCAATTTATTTAGTGGTACTAGTGGAGTTTTTCAAATTGTATTCGAAAATTAGGCAGCACCTCGTCCTTTCCCCAAGTCAGTCACTAAATGGCTGCAAAACAAAAACACATTAACTTAATTATATTGCAGTTCTTCATTATTTACACACTTTATCTTGATTATCACTAGTTCACCCTTCTGGAATGGTCAACACACAATTAATTAATCATTATTCATGGACAACAAATGAAAAAATCAAGGCATCCACCAGCCAAAGTAATAATAACAATGAAAAAGCTTTTAAAACCATCAACAGTTCAAACCATAGTACTAGTCTCCATCCTTTTTATAATATCATCCATTACAATATTTGAAAGGAAGCATCGATCATCATCCTGGTCGAGCTGGACTTTGGAGATGTTGGAGGGAGGAAAACCAGAGAACCAGGAGAAAAACGAGCTTGAATAATTTTTTGACGAGTGCCTAATCATTTATCTTTTAGAGGTGCTTTAACCTTGCTTGTTTTGGGGAAGAGATCGTCGTAACCACTTACGAACAATACGATATCTGTGAATTCGGTTGGCTCTCTGGTCGTTTTCTATTTAACAAATACATTCCATTCTTGTTGCCTTGCGTCTGTTCACTAATAGATCAAAGATGAATTTAAAACGGGGTAAAAACAATAACAATGGCATACGACCCTTTAAGTGAGTGTGCCACTGATGGTCAGTTACCACATTTTGACGTCGTCTGTGATCTATTGTATTAACACAATTAAATACTACTCACCTTCGTTTTCAAGGAGCGATAGTTTTGATCATCAAGATGTAAATTTTCATTGCTTACACCATCATTACGTCATCAGGTCGTGCTAGTTCTGTGTTTCTATCTCGTTAAATAAAAATACAGCTTCTAGCGCGCGCGCTTTCTTGTCATCAAGAACCTTTTGGTGGCTTTTGGCGTTTTCTTGCTTCTTTTGATGGAACAGGCAATCTCAAGCAATTTTCTACAGCCAAAGCATAATTGTAGAGAATTCTTAGGTTTACAGACAAAAATGAATGCTACTTTCAGTTTGTAAACCTAGAAAGGCATAAGCAGATTTAACGGTTCTCAATTTCTCTAGCTGTTAACAACAGAGCGATCGTTCCACCTTACTACCAAGTTGTTTTTGAATTTCAGTTTAACTACGGCAACTCTAGAAGATCGCTCAAATGCAACTTGTTTATCCCTTGTGAAACAATTGAAATAAACACACGTAATGTACATTCAGCAATTGAAATGACATACTTTATTTATGTCGCTTTGGCTACATCCTCCAATTACATTAGTTCTTACCCCTTCCAAAAAGTTATCCATTTAGCTAGTGTAGTTTTTAAGTTACACTATTGCCAACAACATATAAAATAGAGCTAAGTCTATTTGTTGGCTATCAATCTCCCACGTGCTGCGTAAAATATCGAAGAATCTCTTAGCTGGACGCCTCCCTACACCTTTAAACGAATAAATCACCTCGCTAGTTTAGTGTTAAGCTATAGTATCGCTTACAATTTGTAAAATAAAGCTTAAGTCTATTTATGATCTATCAATCCCCAGCATGCTGCTTAAAATATGGAAGAGTTTCCTCAGTAAGAGCAGGCGACTCTGCCTGTCAGGGTCAGATGCTGACTTGCTGCGGAACTGCCTGTTAAAAGCAAATATGAAAAGTTTTTGTTTTCGTTGAATATATTTCTGTGGTGATCATAGGAGTAACATTGATTATTTAAATTTCGAAAACGAAAAAACTTAAAAGGGAAAAAAGGGAAAAAGGACAAAAAGGATAATTGTGTCGTTTTCGAAATAAAAATTTTTCCCTTTTTTAACTTTGTTAGTTTCATATTTCTAAATTATCATCTATTTTCAGTGTCACGTGCCCTGTCAACTGGGGATACACTTGCGTTTATCCGTAACATTGATTAGGTTAGTCAGTGAAATGAGTCTGTCATAACATTTGCACCTTGACAAAATTTCCACAGTCATACAAATTTCGCCAAATCCGTCAATATCGTCAACAAAATTCAGTCAGCAAAATTCCAGTCCGTTTTTTCCGTTACTGCATGCATTTCTGGACATATCTCCATACATCGAGGAATCGATCGCTTTCTCTGGCCTGTACCTAATTAATATGGAGGCGCGGTGGCCTCATGGTTAGTGCGTTCGTCTCCGGATCGAGTGGTCCGTGTTCGAGCCCTGGGACCCGTTTCTCGAAGGTCCCGAAGAGCTTTTTTACCCGAAAAGCCGTAGCAAAATCTCAAACCTTTTGATTACAGAGCTGCAGTATTATTGATATGTTCTTAATACAAACAGAGGTTCTGTTCATACCAGAAGTTTCAGGCGTATACACCCCTCTGTCTTTAAATACCAATTAACTGAAAATGGCTTTTCGGGCCCGAAAAGATTCTGGGGCTTTCGAGAAACGAGCCCCTGGCCCGGGACATTGGGTTGTGTTCTTGCGCAAGACACTTTACTCTCACAGTGCCTCTCTCCATCCACGTGTACAAATGGGTACCGGCGAACTTAATGCTGGGGGCAACCCTGCGATGGACTAGCATCCCATCCAGGCATCGCTTCATGCTACAGAAACCGGCATAAGCTCCTGCCTGATGGGCCACTTGGCACGTATGCAGACTTTACCTTTACCTTTACCTTTACCTACCTAATCAATGCACTTGTACGTGACCTTCAGATATTTGTGTGTTCCACGACAAGGATCACCAAATACTGAGTTGCTTGCATGCAAGGTACAGCTGCTCCGATAGTTGCATTTGCTGCGCACAATGCTAAGAGAATTGCCAGCATGACAACTGGTTGTGTAAATTTCCGAATGAGAGCAGGTACTGCGGTCATGTCTGCCATAGGAAGCGTTTAACACGCTGATTCGCTTTCCATGGCAGTTGATGGTGTTTCTGTTCCCTTCACAAATGGTAAAGGATGTTGGCCTTGGCTCAGCTGGGAAAATTAAGAATTAAAGTATTAATTAAACTTTGTGCTTTTTTTTCTTAGTATAACAATGAAGCAAGGCTGATAACAACGTAGAAAGCTTAACGGGACAATGACATGATAGAATCCAAACTGAAAGCCAAGAATTGCAACCGTGGACAGCTGTATCGACTTGGTTGTGTCTCGTCAGCGCGGTGTGGCTGCAAGCAAGAAGTAAAGCAACCCGCTGGTTGACGGATCGTCTACTAAATGCATATGATAATGACCTCAGGTGAAACTCAAATCCAAATGTTTGCGGATTGGCCAGTGCCACATGCAAAACGCGTGTCAATTTATCAGCCTTGCTTCCTTGTTGTTTCTATTTTTGGCTGATCAGATCTTTTACAGATCCTACGTAGTCCGGTAGTATTTTAGTGCACGCTGTCTTAAATAACATTTATTGCGTGATTTAGCACTGACTGTAACAGTAAATCAAAAGGGGAGAAAACAATAACATGATTAATTTGAAAAAAGTATTCCGTGCCAAGCAACCAGGCCTGATGACATGCCAATTTCTTATAATATAGTTCAAAGCGAAGATATTCACAGTCATGCCCCCGCCTCGACTATTTAAGGAACTGCAGGTTGTGTGAATCTTTTCTCTAGTTTATTATTTGTATTCTTTGCATTGTTAAAGGAGTTCAGTCACGGACGGTATTTTGAGTTATATTGGCCACGTACAAAATTATCTTTGAATTGAAGGACTGACCTGTAAGATGTAGTTTACTAAGATAGCAAACCACCAGAGAGACGATAATAATAAACCGTAACGGAACAAGGATGGTTAAGGATGGAAGAGATTACATGTAACACGGATTACAAACGATCAACTTGAAAAATTTAAGCCAAACTTTTTAGTATTGGACAATCGTGAAGTAGCTTTTTAGCTTACTGTGTATATGAATACAATTATTGCTGTTGTTCCAAGAAATTCTTCCGTTACAGTGCGAACAACTTTCACATGAAGTGAAAAAAAAAATCACTGCCAATGGTTCAAAAACTGTCAATGGAAATTAACCATTTAGTGGTCTATTGAACGTTGGATTTTTGCTAGAGGTAAATGTGGCGAAAACACCTTTTGAAGCAAGGAATCGTACTTTTTACTATAATTCTGAATAACAATAGTTCCCGCCATACTACAAGAAGGATACAACATCACTTTAAAAGAATGGAGAAAAGAGAGAAGGTGTGGAGCATAGGCCGAGCATGCATAAATTTTACCTGTTTGGCAGTATGTTCCTCTGTAACCAGATCTGCAACTGCAGCTAAACCTTCCATCACCGAGATTTCTACATGTTCCCCCATTGTGACACGAATATGTCTTACAAGCGTCTACAGCTGTATGGATGAGCGACATCAGGAACGACAGTAAGGAAATGCGACAACTCTCAGTGTATAATTAATAAGAACTTTTGCTATAACTGAGTTAGGCTTCTTGTTATCCGTTATTGTATAAAATATAGATCTGTATACCAAACGGGGTTTCTTGTACTGTTGAGCGCGCTTAGGCACACATGCATACAAAACAGTTGCAACTTTCAAGTGCCAGTTGACTCCGTACCATGCGCGATTTCACTGAGGTTTGAAGTTTAACACTACTTATAATCTGTAGAAAAATGATTGGAAATCACTGTTAAAGTAAATTTAGATTAGATTACTCGGTCTCATGAACTATAAACTCTTCACCATTTTGGAGCTGTCAGTTGAATAGATCATTTTATAGTTGTCTGCACAGTTACCTGGCCTTTGAATGGCAGCGAGGCTAGAGGTGAGCTTGTTTTGATACAGACCTCCCTGCTTTTGTTGTTTAAAACGAGGGTGATCTAATGTTAATTAGGTGCATTTACATGGCAAAAGCAGAGAGGTCTGTATCAAAGCAAGGTCACTTCCAGCCTCGCTGCCATTCAAAGGCCAGGTCACGAGCAGACAACTGTAAAATGGTCTATTGTTAAATTTAACACCCTTGAGTGGTTCGCCGTTGGAGCTGGAGTACGGCGTTAGCAGATATTTCCCAAGAAAATCTTCCGTTACGCCTCCTACAGCAGCTGTAGTTTTGTACTTTCAATTTTACCTGTTTGGCAGTAAGTTCCTTTGTACCAAGTCCTGCAATTGCACTTGATCGTTCCATCATTGACATCTTCACATGTTCCTCCATTGTAGCATGAGGACGCCTTGCATTTGCTGATACCTGTTTGAGTGCGCACCACAAAATGGCAAATTACAAAATTATATTAACTTCTCTCTTACTCGTTTATATGCTATTTTCTAGAATATAAACCTTCCCAATGGCAACCGTATATTTTCCCATAGGACCTAGAGATGTACAGTTACTCTCATGTCTTTATCATCTATCAATAATTTTTCCTTAGTTTCTCATTCTTCTCTACAATGGCATCAAGGCTAAACCCTTGAAAAATTGTGCCCCACAACCTAATGGTGGTGCAGTAAGTTTTATAAATCCATACTGACTCTGAGAGAAAAATTCTTTTTGTCTACTTACGAGTCTCACAGTATTCCCCTGTAAAATCTCCCAGACAAGTGCATTTAAACGTTTTTTCGTCAACGCTTTGACAAGTTCCTCCATTCAAACACTGAACATCCTCGCAGGGGTCCGCTCCTTTTGATCGACAAAACAAATAAACATGTTAGAACATTCGCACATGCCGTGTAAAATGATGTCATTACGAAATTTTGATGTCAGCATCACTGGAATTTGCAGCGTTGAATTGTTGTTTGTATGTGACGTCACCAAGGTCTGGGACTAAAAGTAATAATGCTGTTAAGCCGTTCTTTTTGCGACGTGAAAAACATAATAACAGCTAGAAATGTTAAACTTGCACGTTCTTGCTAAGTCAGGATTGCGGGGTGTAGTAGCTGTTTTTTCTGTGGTGTCGTATCCTGCGAGTTGAAGATCTATTCTTGTAGGATCTTCAACAGTCAGAAATTAAGTCGCTTTTTGCTTGTATTTATGAATTTCAGTATCTTAAATATACGCTAACAAAAAAACAAACCAAAAAAAAAAGAAAAGAAAAGAACAAACAAGAAAGAGAGTCTACACTTGGAAGCAAGAGAACACACTGTTGTCGAATTATCACCATATTAAAGTAGTTTGGTATTATTTTTTTAATTTCATAATTTCATCATGGTGTTAGTGGACACTTACTTTTGACACAAGTGTTGTTATTCTTTTTGTCCCAGCCCTCCGGACATTTCTCAAGGCATTCTCCAGTAACAGCATTCTTCACATATCGGCATGCATTACAGTCAGTGGCCAGAGGTTTCCCACTTGAAGTGCTTCGGCATCCTTTAAGAAAAAAATAACACATGATAACTACGAAAAAACAATTGCTCACACTTTACTCTAAAATCGTGCCAGTTTAACAAAATCAAATTAATGTAATATGATTGGATTATAATCATCAGTACATTAAGTAGCATGTCCAATACGAGAGATTAGTTTAACAATGTACCACATTTTGAAACACCGCGGGAAGAGAGTTGAAAATACGGTGCGCTGCGGAGTATTTTTGGTGAATAATACAGAGTTGTTTGAAAATGTGGCAGGACACGGTCTCGTCAACTATATCTTCTCTATCAAAACTAAAACTACGGAGAAGGCGAAGAAATAAAATCGTCAAAATCTTTGCTAATTTAGATCACCATGACGGATATGACTTCCTTGTTTAAACTTAGTGTTAATGAGTTTGAAAAGTGTGTTTTGATACCTTGGTTTGGGTCGCATAACACGTGGCAATCTTGCACGCACATGTTCGTTTGTTTATCATGAACCGTATCTCCTTTACAGTGGGCCTTGGTCAGGTGACGAGAAAGAATGTGTGCATCAACTACCTCCATGGGGTCCTCGCCATTCCCAAATGAATAGAACCGGACAAACAGAGGATTATCTCTGTCTATCATCGTCAGGTAGACGTCACCGAATTCTGTTGTCCCTTGACTTTTCCCATACTCTATTACGGTGCTTTTAGATGTCTCTTTCACGCAAACAAAGTAGGACTGATAGAGAATCTCCGCGCCCAAGCCAACCGCGTTAACATCAACAGAGGAAACCATGAGTCTTTGGGACTGTGAATGGAATTTAAAGGATATTTATTTTTTTAAGGACTTGAATATTATGATATAATTAATAAATAATAATTGCGAGTTGTAACAACAAAGCCCTGGCGACTAACTTATAGCCTGCGTAGCGGGCGTATAAAGGGGATGGGGTGGAGGAGGAGAAGAGATTTCGAGGAGATTTCGGGGAAAGGGAACCNCCACCCCCCTCCCCTTTATACGCCTGCTACGCAGGATACTAACTTATGCATTGTGATATTTACCGCAATCATTGCGTTGCTTGCGAAACACCGTCTATACGTGTAGTTTTAAACGACCTCTTGGCATTGAGCAGTTTTCATACTTCAAAAGTCAGAATTTTAACTGCACATTATTTCCACTGCTCAGAATTAAGCAATCTAGCACTGACTTTTTCTATACGGAAATTCTTTGTGAATTAGCGTAAACTACGTTTTTTTTCTTAATTTATTGTAATCCATTGCTCACGCGAAGCTTACTGTTTTTCACGCGAGCTTGCTAGTTTTTCTTTGGGGATATTCTTCAAAAACTGTTCACTTTCCGGACCAGATAACGCCAGCGTCTTAGTTGTATGCGTAGCTTTTATTCTAAATTAGTTAAAATAAATTGGAACTCACCTTAAATATTCCAACGCCATACGTAGAAATCTGTACATAGTACCATGTATCTTTGTTATTCGGAACAGCAGCGAATATAACAAAAACAGTTCCTTTCGAAGATGCGGTGAAGTGAAGACATTTCCCTTCTTTGTTACTAGGGTCAAACCGTAAGGCATTGGACCATTTCACGTTGCACGGAAGATAGCCAATGACTGTATCCATCTGAAAAATGTGGTCGGCTGGCCATTCAGCATGTGCTATTAACGAGCCAATCATATCTGGCGTCAAACCCGGAAATGTTGCATTTGAAGTCTCGAAGTCTTCTCGCTTTAGCGTGAGATATCCATTTTGTGGAGAATACGTCAAAACCAAGCCGAGAATGCAAACTTTGAAATTTTTTCGGCTGCCGCGATTACAGGCCGTTGTCATGTCCATCTGGTCATGACTATCACCGACAAACCATTGATTGTCAAAGAATTTCACGTACTTTTCCATGTGTGGAGTTATCTTAACTGGGCCTCGAAATGTTCCAGACAGTTCCCTTCTCGTGTTGAAGATAATCAGGAACGCGGCTTCGTCTTTAGTTATTGCTTCCCAGGTTGGCTTGCCGGATTTTTCTTGAAACTTATAGTTTTCAGTCTGACAACCAGGCCGTCCAGCAGGAAGAGTTATATCTGACACCGAAATGGGACCCTAAAGTTGAGAAAGACACGTCTTCAGAAATATACTGGAGCAACATGCGTTCCGATATGTATTTAAAACTTGTAATTGAGTTATGGATATAATCAAACACTGAAAAGCTTAGTTCTACTTAACAAGATCTTTCACGGGCATTTTGTTAAAATGTGCGTTATTTTTACAACACAAATGGCACTAAATTACTTGTTCCTGATTGGCAGATTGTGCTACTGTATGCATTGCTTTGGCTTGAGGCGAATTTTGAACATTTTCCAATTTAATTCACTTATTTTGTGCAATAAAGGCCAGAGAGAAAATCTATGTTGTGTAGTTTAAAGAAATACCGATCTGTATTTGAAAATATATCGGTTCCCCTAAGAGAGTAGAACGCAAATTTAATAAGATTATACTCGGGGCATATAAAATATAATTTTACCTCTTCCATGTAGACTGCAACAGCTCTTTCTAGACTAGTCCTTCTACGGTTTATCACATGAACCAGATAGTCACGGTCCTTGTATGGACACTTCTTCCTTGTTAGCGTTCCATTGATTTTGATTTCATAATAGCTTTCCCCAGTGTCTGGATCTTTCTTCATGTCGGCTGAATGTCTTTCACATCCCCAATCTCTTTCTTCGTCAGTAAACAGGGATGAAGGATTAAACTTTAGCAGATCTGTGATCGGTGCAACCATAAATTTGAATGGTTTTGGGAAAGTACGAATTGACTCCAGCCATTGTTTGATTTCATTTTTTATCGTTGGCGAGTTTACATCTGAGATAAGAGAAGCAATTTGCTGGTCTCCTCCTTCTACAGATATGGAGGTAGAAGATGTCTTTGATTGTTGTTTATGACTACTTCCTCCATTTTGCTCGTCCTTTGCATGAAGACTTGCAAAAAAGCTTCTAAACTCGGCTTCCATGACTTGGCTAAACTCCGCTTTGCTTGAGACTTGGTTAGCTTCCATTGTCTTGAAAATGTCAAGCCTGCCACCAAATTTTCCTGACTTTATGTAGTGCGTCCCCCAACGAAGAATGAAATCCTCTGCGGATTCAAAGAATGGGTATTAAGCAGCTCGATGTTTAGCGTGCTTTCATATCGAGGACTTTGTTGCATGATTTTGCCTAGATATTAGAGTCGGACCAACAAGCTTTGCTGGTCTCTTGCCTGGATGTATGGACACTAAGAGGTAAACAGAGGCAATCATACCACTTGGGTATTTATCGATAGCGTCACCAAGTAGCTGAATTGGAACAATTAGGGACTACTGAGCAACAAGTCTATCTGGTGCTAGAAAACCCATATCTGCCGGATATCTGCCCTTTGACCTGTCCAAACAGATAAACGTTGGATGTGTGGACATTGTACACAATCAATAACGGCATCTAATCCAGAAGTACACTTACGAAATTGGACGGCTGCTCCAGGAGCTAAATAGGATAAAGGAAGAGCCATGAACTCCTGAAGAAAATTCACACTGAGGTCACTTGGTTTGACTTCGTCCAAAAAGATTTCGTACCTGAAAAACATCAAAATCAAAAAGTCACCGACGTGTTAGTTTGATGACGAAAAAGGACGACATTTTCTGAGATAATTGTCGTCAAAAAAAAAGAAGAAGAAGAAAAGCAAAGCTTAATTTCACGTACTGTATACATCCAGTTTGCTAAAGGGTGGAATTGAGGACAGCAAGCTTTGAACAAAATGCTCGCGGAACAGAAGCTAAGATGGACATTCCACTCACCTGTCGATGTCAATGGCAAAGAGCGCCATGTATTGCTGTGATCCACTGGTGAGTGAGCTTCCCCAGGCCTTTTTCACACCAGCGTAGAAACCAAAGGCAGAGCCCGCCATTCCCGCTTCTCGTTGAAGAAACGTTTGGTACTCTCGTCGAGCATAAAACGTCTGCATTGTAGCGCTGGTGTCATAAACTCCGTGTACGTTCATGGTGTCAGGGACATCAAAATCATCATACCTTAAAACCACAAACAAAACTGTCATTTGTGAAGTCAGACAGAGACGGAAAAAGGCGTAATTGCACTCCGCATTTTGGCCTGGCACTTGGAAATGAACATGGGATCCCACCTTCTCTATATTAAATGCAATTTTAACATATACTCAGTAGAGTGAAGTATTCGCTTATCCCTAAGATCTACCACGCACCACTCAGGTCCACACAGATACAAACAGTGCGCACTTATCGTAATCAGTGCGCCAGAATAAACTATGACGTCACTAGTTCTAAGATATGATAACTGAGGCTGACATGCAAAGTTCCTATTAAGCGGTATAAAAATAAAATAATTACTCTGTCACTTTTTACACGTTTGAAGTGCACACGTCCAATGCAATTACATTTCCCAATTACGCTGTCCTACATGGGCCCAAATTCATCGATTTGGTTACAGTTTTCAAAAACAAAAACCAAAAAATAAAAATAAAATAAAATAAATAAAAAATAGAAATAAAAATAATAATAATAATAAAAATTAAAAATTCCGCGTAACATCTCCAGGCGGACAATAAAAGCGAAGTACAGACCACAAATGTTAAATAATCGTTTGGTAACTAAGCAACCATTTACAATTGGAATAAAGGAAAAAAGAAAAACTGACGGTATTCAAGAGAAATCCAGAGAAAAATTAAAAGTGTACTTACGTTGCTTTACCCTTGCAGTCTCTTTGTACAATACTCATCTTCCTTGATTCTGGACTGAAGTCACCACGGCCATCAAATCCCACTCCGATAAACGCAGCTCCATCAATAAGATTCTTACAGATACAATCAGGGACAGATGTGACTCAATGCAATTTATCAAATGCATTCCATTCTTAGAGTTTAGTAGCCGCCTTGGCGGACAGTAAAATAAACAAAAACTTTTGATTTTTTATGGCAAAATCATTTATACTTTAGCATCTGATGATAACTATACCCTGGTTGGCAGTGTACTTTAAGTTGCCACTCTATTTATTTCATGTGTGGTTGGATTTGAGACTCGTAAGAAAAATGGAACAGAATATATATATAAAAAATTATACCGTGGGTGAAAATAACAATAACTTCACTTATTTTGATGCCTGAGCAATTTCAAGTTGAAGATTATGGCTTTTCTGCATTATCTGAATCCTAAACAACATTAACTATCATGGCTTTTCTGTCGACAACGTGTTTCAAGAGTGTTTTAGCTCAGTGTTCGATATAATGATATTGACTTTGGCATCACCTTTATTGCGAAAATGAGTACCAATAAAAATTGTAGACTGGAGCATATTTATATAAAATACTGAGGCATATCTATGTAAATACTGCAGTATAAATGTGAACCGTGGACGGTAAGATAATTAACCGAAAGCACTGCACAATGAAAAACCGCGCCGCCAGTTTTCTTCAAATCTCTAACTAACGTTTACTTTGATGCCAGCACGGATCATGGCGGGATTGGGTATAGATTCATAATTCATGAGAGTTTTCTTATATCACTCAGGCTGATCATATTCGATCTTAAACTTGTCTAAGCTTCAGAGGAAAAGTGAATAGATATTAAACATGTCTCACAGCATGCTTACCAGACAAATAGTGGTTTTCCTTTTAGCTGCATAACACGGATCACCTGGCTGATAGTCTCTACCAAAACACCCATTCATCATGAGTCCACCAACTCCCATTGGATAGGCAAATGGCTGGACACCAATTTCCCCGTGAGGTTTTTTATCATCTCCTGTTATTTCTGCGTCAATGTGAAAACCAGGAGGAACAAACAAATCCTCTGTTTTCCACCCTTTGTCAGGCATAATGTTGACTTTCATCTAAAAATACCGGAAATTAGAATACATTGAGCTAGACGTGTCTCGCTGAGCTCTAGACGGTAGCGTTGGGAATGTTTTGAGAGGGTGGAAGTGGGTTTTCAATTCTGTTGTTAATTTCTGTATATATTGTTGTTATTCAGCAGAATGTAATGATCTTGAGAAAGCAACAAATTATTCGACCAAGCTTTTTGTTTCTTTCTTGAAGCTCCTAGGGGACGTTAAAGAGCAGTTCTAAGGGAAAAAAAAAAAACAAACAGACACAGGTTCGATAACGAAAACACAAGCGGGACATATATTTCACTCGTTCAGTTGGATTTTAACGTGACCTTGATTTGAACTCTTTAGCAAAAGTCTGACGAAAAAATATCTATTTAGCTAAAGGGAATAGCTTTAAACTGCAGAAGGGAAGAGTCTACCGAAGGTAGCGTTGATAGAATTTGAGCCAGGTTGACAGGATTCTGTTGTCGCAGCATACTCATTTGTCCATGAAAGTAGTCGACATGGCAGAATTTTCCTCTATCACTCATACCAGTATCAAAGATGTTGAATAAATCGGCATTTTACCCTTTTTATACTATTTCTTTTTTTTTTTTTGCGTACCTGTTGCTAAATTATAACTTGATTTATGAATGCAGGGGCAAAGAGAAAGCAATAAAGCTAGTGGTGCATAGTGAATAATAATACTAAAGAAAGTAGAACGAAGGTGTTTCCAAGCACAGGCAAAAATACTAAACGAAATGCAAAGTTAACCAATGGATTTTCAATGATAATGATAATCATGTTATCGTCAGTAGCACTGAGAAATGTGCAATATTATGAAAATGTACCTCAAGAGGAGTGGCCTCCACTCCCCCTCTCTCCTCCCCTACTATGTACCCCCGAGAATATAACTGGAACAAATATACACAAACACTAAAATACCTTCTTGTCGACAAATTCTGCCGCCTTTTTCTGTTGTTCCTGCATGATCTCTAACTGTTTATTAACAGCCTGCTCTCCTATTTCCAGCGCCATGCTTGCTGGATCCACAGGAGGTACGGCATCTTCTCTTTTCTAATGTATGATAACATATAATCCTTGTTTTAGTGTAAATTCAATGTGTATTTGACAAATGTCTGACCATGAAACCATGCCAATGAAACATCCAATCATTCGTCTCGCAGTTTAATTTTTTTTAATGTAGGTAGTGATCCATTCGCCTCATAGAGCCACTCTCCTGATATTGCAAGCAATGAAAGAAACGACGTTAAGGTCTAAAGAATACCAGCATTTGCCCTTAAAAGTTCCATTTTTGAATTGCATCGAACTATGCTGAACTTAAATTCGATAATGTTCTACAACAGTAACGAACGAAAATCGAGTTCAAATTCTGAATTAAACAAATTGGAATCCCACATTATATATATTTCTACTTGTTGTCCTAGCTATCGAAATTTCCTTTGCTACTACTTGGGTTGCAACAAAGTAACGTGTTCCCTCCTACTCGATCGTGTTGTGGTTGCTTTAATATTTATCTACGGTTGAAATGACAATTAAGTTAAGATCATTATGTACTGTATATGAGACTAAGAATTGAGAAGACACTGATTGAATTATTATCGCTCCCCACCCCAATCACCATAACTTTTTGTTCCTTTATTCATTACCATAGTGTCATGCGTTCTTTTGATTTAGACTTTAAGACTAAAATTCAATTCTGGTCGATTTCGTTCAAAATTCCAACTCCCAAAAAAGGTTCCATGTACCTGTTGCAGTATAGATGACCCACTACCAATCTTCTCTTCATTTAGCGATCGCCTTTCGTTTTCCAAAGAATCGTAACTTTCCAACTTCTGCGGACTTTTATCGGTGTTTTGACCTATAATTATAAAATTCAATTTCTGTATCATACCAATAACACACAGGTACATACAGATACATGCGAGTTAACCTGCGATTGTCAAGGGAGAAGGGAAAAGGGAGAAGGAGAAAAGAATAACTTCCCCACGTCTGAATATAATGGAGGAAAGGTATGATCGCAGGTTACATGCGAGTGACTAATTATGTATAACGGGTAGCATACAAGTAAAAGAATCGATTACATACGATTACATACGAGCACCACACGAATGTAACCTAGGTCACGAAAGAATTTTTTCTTTTTCCAGTTATTTTTTTTTATCTTTACCAATTACGGGTAATATGACGGGTAACCCAGATCCAGCAACTCGTCTGAACATATTGCTATTATACATCGAATCAGGTAACATAACTATCTTGAAGATTTTGATAAATTTTTTTTAGCCCTGGGCTCGATCACGAACCATGTCGTCTTTCAGTCTTTCCTATGCGCCGCCTTTGAACTCAGGTAGCCCTGGGAAACGTTTAGGATTAAATGAATGGCTCTATACATCAAAAGCTTGTGCGCTCTTGGGGTCTTCGGATATTAGTTCTACGACACGCCTTGTCTGAGAATGCGGAACAGTAAATTCATTAAAATTCTCTAAATGAAACAACTGTCGTTTTCCATGAAAAGTTTGTAATTATTGTTAATTGTGAAAACATGAATATAACACCGTAAATATTAAAACCTCGAACCTCGTCACTTTTGCATTTAGCAGAATTTTCCTGTTTTTCTTTTTTTTTTCCGGTGGATTTCTACTTTTTTGTCACGACAACTTAGGATGCATATTGGCAGATCTAAATTGACAAGTTGACAAGTTGACAAATAGGACAACATGCGCACGGCTTTCTTTAAAAAGCCTAGGTGTCGCGACATTTTTCGCTTTTGTTTTGAGTAAAAATTCTGGGAATTTTTCTTTGTTTATTGCAATGTTATTCTGAACTAACGGGCATAGTCTCAAACTCTCTTATTAGTGGCTATGTACTTGTCTCAGATGTAAAAATTGAGTGAATTCTTGCAAATCGTTAAATTGCTTTTTCATCATTCTTTGTTTCTTTAACTTACAGTCCAGCGCACTGAATCACTACTGTAGTTTCGAAAATTTGTACTTCTTTCTGATGTCACTACGTTAGGGAAACACCCATGAATTCTGTCGTCGCTAGCTTTCGAAGGAAAGTGAAAAGTTTCGGGTAGTCTTCACGCTTGGGAAAGAGAATATCAAAATTTTTGTGGTTCTTTTGGTTGAGTGGACACTTGCGGTATATTTAGGAGATGAAGGCAGATGTTTGTGTCATTCTTTTCTGATATGAGGAGAGCCAATAACATAGGGATTTTAAGTCAAGGAGAAGAGAACACTCCCATGCACTCTGTTGCACAGTGTTTCAGTATCGAAGATTTAATTCTAATGTTGTACTGATATCGATTGGCAATTTAACAGATGGAAAAAAATCTAACCTGGAGGCGTTCGTTAAAAGTTTCTAGCTATCAGTAAGGGGGAATTAACATCATGACTTACTAAGATCATCAGTACAATTTTGATCAGGCTGTTGAAGCATTCACTAGGAAAAAGATTTCGCGTGCTAATTAAGATTTAGTTTCGACTGAAGTTCAAGAGTTCGTTCCATATCATTGTATCGCTAATCAAAGCTACTTACTTTGCTCATTGCGCTTGGAAGGGATCTTGACCACCGCACAATCCACAGCAAAGACAGTCAGCAGGGCGAGAAGGGTGTATTTCATCTTGTCAGTTTCGCTGCTGACGCGATTATGTTCGGCGAAACACCAGGGCGTGCTTTAAGTTTGCGGTGTAGAATTACTCACCAAACAGTAGGATCACGATCTATTTAAAGGAACCGTATAATTTCCATCATAATGTCTTGGTCGGGTTAAAGAAAAGGTAAACAATTCTTTAAGCCTTAAATCAACTTCCAAAATGGGCTTAAAGGTTCTCGGACAGTAAAGACAAAGCACGCACGTATGCAACCAGGGTTCTGTGACCAGTTCAGTTTGATTTTACAAAATAAAGCTCTCAAGGGTGATTCATTTTTGTGCGGAAAGGCGAGCTCGATGAAACACCCCGTATTTTTACAAAATAAGGCTCCCTACTGCTCTAGGGTAATTTGATTTTGGTGCTTAACGGCGTCAAACTGGGGTCCCTAATTCCTTGTCTTCGTTTAAGCTTTCGATTACTTCGCGTGTTATGTCTCTAACTTTTTCTTTTTATTGTTTTTGGCACGCTGGCGTGAAATATTCGTTCACAACAAACGCAAAAATATGAAAGACTACAGTCGTGTTTTATCAAACATATAGAACAACTGGCCACGCCTCAATGCGCGACTCTGACTATCATGACTTAGTCAGGTGCAAACATAATAGGAGGCTGATTTTGATAAATTTTTTTTAGCCCTGGGCTCGATCACGAACCATGTCGTCTTTCAGTCTTTCCTATGCGCCGCCTTTGAACTCAGGTAGCCCTGGGAAACGTTTAGGATTAAATGAATGGCTCTATACATCAAAAGCTTGTGCGCTCTTGGGGTCTTCGGATATTAGTTCTACGACACGCCTTGTCTGAGAATGCGGAACAGTAAATTCATTAAAATTCTCTAAATGAAACAACTGTCGTTTTCCATGAAAAGTTTGTAATTTGCACACACACCAGACGCGTACAAAATTACTTGCCTTACCTCTCTCCCCACCCTAGATACAATGTTGAAAACTAGTACCTGCAATTTCTTCTGATTTCAACACTGTATTGGGTGGGGAGGGGGAACAGTTACGCGTTTTTAAAAGTAATTAAAGCAGCGCAATTGTCAAACTTCAGTAGTAAAACACAGATAATTCGTTACTTCATGTGAGTGTCCCAAAGCTAGGACTTTTGTCCACGATTGACTGATTTTCAAGTCTCATGGAAAAATGCACAATTAGGATGTTTTTTTAGCCTTTAGTGCATTTAGGACCCTTTTTGATTTTAAAAAGGTGGGCCTACTGAAGTTGAGGGGTTTGTCTGATCGAAGAAGATGAAGGGAGTCATAATTTTGTCTTCGGGTCAAAAATGTAGCCTTATTTTGAGCTCGAGGTGATCGTATTAACGGGTGGTCGAAAGGCTACATTCAACTGTATTCCGTTGTTTTACTTTATATTTCCGACTAGATAAACAATATTTATAGTGACATCAAACGTATGCATGCATTCCAGTATACTGAAGACGAGCTTATATAAATGGAACATGACTTTACGTGTAATTTCACCTAAAGTGGGTTTCATTTTCGACCGACTTCCTCCACTAATAAAGGGAGAAACACGTGGACAGAACTTCGAAACTTTACATATTTTTCCCGGCTTTATTTATTTGCATTAATATGAAACGAAAGAATTACTTTGAGAATCAAGGCCTAGTACTATAGTGCCGCCAGTCATATCATTCTCTGAGCAAACAAAACCAAAAAACAAAAAGACTTTATTTAACGAGGGTAACATAATTTACTGGTTGCCCAGTAGTTTACAATATGGCCTTCCCTAATTCTACATAAAATCAAGATAAGGTAGATGATACTTGAAAATATGTATTAATTAATGTAACTATATATTACCGCTGGTGAAATGTCAAAGTTTGGGCTTTCTAAATTTGATTTAGCGCTTTTTTTTCAGTAAGCGTCCCCGAGGCCCACTGCTCGAAGGTTCCGAAAAGTTTTCGCACTCGAAAGCCGTGGAAAAATCTCAGACCTTATGATTACAGAGCTTTTTCATTCACACATTCTTAACAGTGAGAGAGGTTCTCTCCATACAAAAACTTTCAGGCGTTTACACCACTCTGTTTTTAGATACAGATTAATTAAATAAAGGCTTGGCGGGCCCGAAAGGCTTCCGGGGCTTTCGACAAACGGGCCTCTGGTATCCTTTGCGAAAATGACATTCATACATTAACATAGAATGGTAGTGATTCAGACAAGTGTGCAGTGTAGTCTGCTTTCTCGTTTGAACGTAATATTGAACATATTTATTTGGAATAATAAATCAAAAGCTTTCGTGACTACATGCAGTGTTGGAAACTAAATTCTGACAATACTCGCCATTCAATCGGGTGACTCTCAAAATTCACTTGGCCGGTGTAATTTTCACTATTCCAGAAAGATGCCTCCCCTCCCCCAAGAAAATCTCCGCAATGACTCACCAATCATATGTTTTTTCTCTCATCCACGTAGGCCCAGCTTGCCATAGACGTTTATTTTTTGCAGACGTTTATTTTTTGCAGAAGAGTTATTTTTCTTAGAACGCGGGCCAGAGCGATGCTCATCCCCTTGCGTTCAGCTTGAAGTTTAGCTTGAAGGAAATCTCTTGATGTTGTGTATGTGCACGCGCTCGTGAGTGCGCGCTAACGACCCGAAAATCTTGCGCAGTAAGGATGTGCTACGCATTTTTGAGAAATCATCTCAAATATGCGGCCCTGCATTACAAAATGGGCTACTCCACGCCTAACTAACTACAACAGTCTGCCTTGACTGTCTGACTGTCCGAATGACTGACTGAGTGTCTGTCTGACTGATTGTCTGATTGATTGACTTACTATCTGATTGACTGATTGACTAATTGATTTCATTATTGGTTTAGCTGTAAAATGTAGCAGCTTGTAGTGAATTTCTTTTTGTTTAGACCAAACATCCTCTAGACTCATAAAGCAGTACTTTTTAAGATTACCGTGTACCTTATGGGGTGTCTCCGATATTCCAACGGATGTAGCGCCTCGCGATTACATCACAGATAAACCGTTCATCAAATTAAAGCTTATAGATCTGGCTATTCAAAATTTCATTAGGTTTTCCGGAAAATGAAGTCTAAACTGGAGGGTAAAAATTCTTTTTTTTTAACTTGCAACTCAACGCGATTTTTATGTTTCGGGAAATTTGTTTTTCGAGATCAGGAAACAAACGCTTAAATGAATCATTTTGGTGTCTTCCTTTCTTCGATGGCATATAAAAGTTACAGTACATTTACGGAGTGACCGCAAAGAAATAAATCTCGACGAAACTGTCTATTTTTAGAATTGCCAAATTCCTTAACAACCTTATGTTGGAGTTTCTCCAACTGACCAAATTTGACTGAAATTTTCATAACTGAGAGAAATCATCCAATATAGTTTGTCTTCCGGTTATATTTTGTATTAGCCGTTTCTTCCTATCCAGGGTTATTTAGTTTTCTGATCGATACTATACGTTTCCCTTGTGAATTCTTCCAAGCACAAGCCACGAGACTGATTGCGTTCAATTTCGCAACATTTGTTGAGAAAAGGGGACGATTTAAAACTCGCATAGGCGTCCTCGAAATGAAAATTATACTCAGATGGTTACAATTGTTTCCCTATAGAAACGTTGGACAGAGCGTTTTTGAAGTATTTTACCATATTCTGCCCCAAGATTTCCATCCTGCTACCGCTCCCCTCAAACTTTCCCCTCACCTTTTCCCCTGTTCGTTTCAGTATGTGAACTTGACAGAAATTCTTCAAACCGGCCCACACCTGTTATGACTTACATCGGGCTGTTTGTGCGGAAGTGAACCCGTAATGAGCCAATCAGAAGATGCTACCGGTTAAATAACCGCTGGAGAGCTTGTAGGACTTTGCTGATTCCGTTGCCTTTCTCCTACCTAAAGAAAGTCGAAAAATGCCGGCTCATACGTTAGGGTGGGGTTGGGAGAAGACTTTGGTGGTCAAAATCGCAGATTTGATGCATCAGAATTGAATTAACAAAAATAACGACAGAATGTGCTTTTTCTCTGTTATTTTTAATCATCCAGTCATCTTTTTTTCTGTCTCCAAAATATTGATTATCGTTCAAAGGGGGGAAACGATAAAGAAAGCTCCGATACTAATTCACTGGTCTGATTTTCATCTCAGCCCTCTTGGCGGAGTAGTTATGTCCTTTCCAGTGATACCAGTTGACGCCATCAGCACTTGATGAGTGCGCGCCATGATGATACAGACCGTTTAGGTTGGAAGCATGACAGGCACCGTACCACCAGGCTCCTTTGTTGGCCACAGCACAGTTACTGCTCCAGCTGTCATTATCCTGATCTTTGGTGGTGAAGGGTTGACCACCATGACCAGAAAGTGAATCCCCTGCTGTCCCTGTACCAGAACGCGAGAATAGGATTATGTTTCATATGAGATCGAGGACAATGGAAAAGCTTTTTCACGTCATTACTTTTGACCGCAGTCCAAGTTATTAAAAACAAGAGAAAAAGCAAATAATCAAAGAAAAAATTTTCTTAGGAAGAAATAATCATATAGACACTGATAAAAAAGGTATTAAAATTTGGACCTGAGTAAGTTCCGATGCTGAGCTGGTACTTAGCCCTCTCGCTCGTAACTGCAAACATGTCGTACTCGGCGTAAGCAGTTTTGCCTGTCGTGTCTTCCAGATCTACTCGAAGTCRGTTCTTTGTMRTCGTCAAGCGGTMTATCTTGTCCAGTCCCAGCCAAAACTCGCCATTCAGGTTACCGAAGCCATTCTTGTAGTCGGCCCAGCCGCGGTAGAAATTAACGGAGCCGTCCAATCTCTTCTGGAACACTGTCCACCCCCCACCGGCTGTTGTTTGGTCACAGAACACATCAAAGGTACCTGAACCATCAGGGTCGATTGTATAAACACCACTGAGTTTTTCACCAGATTTGTACAGCTCAGCACAGTTCTTCTTTGCTGTGAAATAAAATACAGCATTTCTTGTCACTTCAACGATTTGTCGTCATAGTGATTTCTTTTTACCGTACAAAAGAGCTCCCCTCATCCTCCCTTACTTTGTTTGAAATTTTTAAGCTACCGTATAAAATATCGAATGTGCTGAAAAGAGTGCAATTGTATTTTTTGAGACGAGATTGAAAAAACTCTAATTACATGGCTAGTTTACAGACTGACTAATTCGTAACCTGAACTCTTCAAAAAACCAAACAAAATGAAAACTCAAATTGCCAACGAATGATACAGTCCACGACTTACGGTTTTGAACAGACTTATTCCCTTTCAGCATGTTCATATCATCTTGTAGTTTAACGAGGCGTCCAATTATTTCTTGCAGGAGATTTTCAATCTTCTTGTTGGGGGCTTCATAGAAGTACACGTTGTTACATTTCTTTGTCTCTACGAGACCCGAGCCAGTTCCATTGGTGCTCGCTCCGTGCTTAGCTGAGGTTTTGCACGCCAAAAACAACACCAGGAACAACGATCCCAAGCAGAAACCTAACGCACCACGATTCATAGTAAAAGGCTAATGTTCAGCCTTTTGCTTGTCACAATCTGGAAACGTAACTGCTGCCTGTGAAAGATTTGTTCCGATTTGGGGTTTTTATGAGCTGCTTCCCAGAGATGACATACAATTAAGACAGTTTTTAACGTGTCAAAGTGATTATTTTTAATATATTTTGTTTGGGCGTTGACATTCTTAATGTCAATATTACAACACGCTGTTTGCCAAAAACCGAAGAAAAAACGACCCGTATACGTCTATCTAAATGCTTAGCATTTTTACACATCAAAATTGTTTCTTAGATATTTTGACGAAAAATACTTGATTACTTTTGCCCTATGTAAAATTTTAACCTATTGTTTTCGTATCCTTTTTCTATATATAAAGTTATTCAGGTTAGAAGACTCACCCTAGCAAGTTCTCAAACATAAAAGGTGAGTTGGTCAGTCATCACTCATGGTTTCTACCAATCTGTTTGTCGGCAACTCTGCTGTCTGACGAAAAAACCTTAAGTCTGTTTAAATTGATATCGCTTCAACGTAATTGCGTCTAGTCCCTTTTCCGGCTAATAACTTGCAATATTTTTTCATTATTATTATTTATGTATTTACGCCAAATCGCAAGGAAATTACTGAAGTACACGAAATCAAATTCATCATCCCATTTTGAACAATAAAGTTTCTAGACTTAAACTATACTAAAAAACGGTGAAAAGTTTTTTCAACGCACCAGCAAGATTTAGCAGCAGTTCTTGCTCAAAAGCTCTTTTCAAACTACCAGGGTGTCACAGCAAAAAAAAAAAAAAAAACTTTTTAAAATAACTAAAAATGATGTTGAGATGCCACGCCCTTGTTAGTATCCGAAGCCAAGACATTGTGTTCTTAAACATTTAAATTTGATAACGCAACCGGATAAAGTAAGAAAACAAATTTGCAATTCATTCTAGTGCCATAATGTTTATATTTATAATTTCTGCCTGTTTCATTGCTCTTTTGGACAAAATCTAATTAGCAGCTTTCAACACTCAGGTCAAAAAAAGTCGATTTTGAAAAAAAAAGGCTGGAGAAAGGATCATTGAATTCTTTTTGGAGAGACAAAACTGTACTTTAAATGTACTCATGAACGCCCTAGAAAGAGGTTTTCGTTTCCGTCCTTCACGTTTTTTAGTGTTCTTACGGAATTAGTCACAAATAAACTGTTCGATAACATCAGCTACTCAAAAAGTACTATCGCTGCAAGATTCGTTTATGGATTTGAAATTTCATCCAAAAATTCCCCTTTCCCTTCCTATAAAAGTTAAAAAGATAGTGAGTAAGGATATTACATGTAAGAATACAAAAGCAAAAACCGACACAACGTAGAATGATTTTTTGAAGGTGTACGATATTTCGGCTGGCCAAACCAGCCTTCTTCAGGTACAATGGAAGATTTTACATTGGTGCGTGTTTTTATGNATGGAAACAATTAATATGTTTCTTCGCGGATGTTCAGACCATTAGGATCAATTGTTCTGCCTTTTTTAATTAAAAAAGCTTCCCTGGCCTTACGGATAGAGTCTCGGTTAGAAACGATTTCTCCTGTTGACATCTTCTTTCATATTGACATAATAAACAGGAACACGAATACCTTCTCATTCACCATTTACTCTAAAAACCCCTCAGAAATCGGTTGCGATATAATTTACTTCAAATTTTACACCGATTCCTTTTAATCACGTTTGACCGAGTTTTAGTGTTGCTGGATCCTGAGCTAGCATGGTCATTTTGGGTTGTTTATTTGTTTTTGTTTTTTTTTGTTTTTTTTTTTGTTTGAAAAGCAAGGAAAAGATCTCTAATGCGACAGTATCATCTCCTCACTGCATGCTCTTGGCAATAGGCAATTCAAGCAAAAAGTAAGGTCAACGAGTCGCGAAAGTTGAGTCAGTTGTCATGGATTGATGCGTTTACTCCAGGAGCGCAAAGTATAATAAAATTGGAAAACTGATCCTTACAAGAGACAAACGAAATTAAAAAAGTGGACTGTATCGTAGGTCACAAACCCGTCTTAAATAGACACGATTTGTGTCTATATTACATAAAAGACACAAAGAAAACCTTATGTTGAGATGAGTGAAGTTTATTTCTACATAACAGCGTCATGCGAATTTCTGTTACCAACTCTGTAAATCGTTCGCATCGTTGACCTTGGGCTGCCTGTGCTTGCGCGCCACTTGGATGGATTTTCCGGGAACGTTCGGTCAGCGGCAAACTCCTGTAAAATCCAAAAAACAAAATGGCGACGGGTTAAATGTATAAAAAGTGCCACAAAAAGTAGGAAGAGATCATGACTTCCAAAGGCTCGGCAAATCTGCCTAGCTTTATCACCGGGTACTACGGACCAAACTCCAGTAGTTCACGAGCGTTTGAAAGTTTAGTGAGAGCTATTGGAGAAGCCAAGTCAAAACAGGCAAGTTTGATTGGTAACTGTATGGTTTCATTTTACGAATTGCTGTGTAAATCGTCGGCTACCATTATTCTCGAGCCGAATATTTGGCTTAACGAGCCTTGACCTCTGCAGAGCTGCCCACTCTCCGCCGAAAAAAAAGAGAGCCGGAAGAAAAACAAAGTGGGGGAAAGGCTTCTTTGTTTTTACCGTTGCATAATAATAATTGCGTGCCCGGATTGTCTGGGAATTAAATGTTCTGATTAGTTAATCAATCGTTGGTAATTCTCATTTATTATATCTCTCAGTTACTACGCACGTTGTGATTGGTCAATTTAGCGGGCCGTATTACATTGTACGGTCCGCTAAGATTTAATTCTGTTTTTGTTGTCAAAATGTCTTATTTCATGATTTATCGCTAAGTGTTCTTAACTCTTATCGCAAGTAAAAGTTTAAAACTTTCATATATTTTAAGTTGTGTATTTAAACCTGTGAACAACTTAATGATTTTAAATTGACTTGTTTTGCATTCGATGAACATCAGAAGTTTGATGCCATTCTGCGTCAATAGACTGTTCCCAAACCTGTCAGACACACAGTAGAGATATAGTAAATATCTTACTAACCTTGTCTTCTTGATCAGTACAGTAAGTTACGGATCCTCAATTTTTCCCCTTTAATTTATGGTCTGTTCACTTCACGCTTAGGCCATAAATTGAAATTGAAAAAACATGGTCCGTAAACTTACAGTACTGACCAAGTTGAAAGTTGACCTGTCCTTGCACTGGTAACAATAATGCTATTGATTAGAATGGTGACTTAAGTCAGCTGTTTCATGTTTTTCTTCCAGGAAGAGGACCGAATTGCCAGGAAGGAGCTGGTTGTGTTGAAAGAGAAGCTTACCCAACGGGACACTTCCACAGTAAGGCAGTGTGAAAAGCACATGACTTAATTATGCAATTAAGTTGTTTTGTCACTGGGCTGTTATCTCTCTTTGATCAGATGATGTTCAAACCGATGATTTAATTTAGAAAATAACATTGAAGCTGTTGTACAAGTTTGCTTGCTTTTCTGGCAGGGGAAGGGTACATGTCTGTATAGCATATGTAGCCCATGATCTGTTGTGATCTTGAACTTACAGACTGTTTTCAGTTTTTCAAACCTCGCTAATTTATATTTAATATATTGAAATCCGAGCAGCCAGCACATAGTTATGTACAAATTCATGTTACAAAACAATTGTTGCAGTATTAAATGTTTCCTTGCTTTCCAGAAACAAATGCGAGAATACCTTGTCCGTCTAATCTACTGTGAAATGCTGGGTCATGATGCATCAATTGGTTATGTAGAAGCCATCAAGTTTGCACAACAGCCAAATATTTTAGACAAAAGGGTTGGTAAGTGACTGCTTGTATAGTTATTGTTACCTTTTACGTTCTTAATATAAATGATTAAAAATAATTAGTACAATGTTTCTTGGATAGGGGCTTCTCCATATCAGTTGAATTTTTTGGGGATCAGGGACGTAGCCAGGAGTTTTCAAGGGAGGGGGATCACACTGCATCAAAGTAAGGGTACTCACCAGATTGTCATGTTGTTTTCGCCACCTGTTTGCTTAAAAGAGGCTTACAAAAAGGGGGTCACAGGCACCCCAGGACCCCCTAACTACTCCCATGGGGATCTGCTTGTGGGGACAAAACTGATTTATAGTTTTCTTGTTGGGGGAGCCCCTAGAGGGGTGGTGTTCATCAGTGATTTGCCGCCTGGCTATTCTGACCTTACACATGTAGTATCCTTTACGTTCAAACAGGACATTCTTTTGGTAGGACCTCCACAATGTTGCAGCACAAAAATTATTCTAGATAAGGGAAACGAGATTAGAAACAAAAACTATATAATTATATATTAAATAAAAGTTATATTCAGAGAGCATTGTCTTTGGATCACAGGTTACCTGGCTGTGTCATTGTTTCTTCATGAAAACCATGAACTGATTGTGCTACTGATTAACACACTTCAAAAGGTTTGTGTCTGGGCATTTTTTTGTAATTATAATGATCTGAGGTTTATCACAGTATTTGAGCTCTCTAATTATTCACATCCTTTTAGCAGTAATAAACAGATTCTTATAATGCAGAACAATTTGCACATACATGTAGCGTATTAGCCTGCTTAATTATAAACTGCAAGCAGTGAATTTATTATTGATTTCAGGATTTACGCAGCACAAATGTCATGGAGGTATGTTGTGCTTTGACAGCTGTTTGCAAGTTGATCAACAAAGATATGATGCCTGCATTGCTACCACAAGTTCTGGAATTAGTTGGGTCCAAAAGGTTGGTTTTGTTTTGTTTTGTTTTTGTATTTTTCAACTTAACAGTAAAATTACATGTAGTTCTGCACCAATCAAGAATGAATTCTTGAGCAGTTTGTTGGATTTAAAAACTTGGCGTTTTTACTGTAGTTCAACCCATGAACTCCATAGGCACTTTCCTTTTTGATTGTAAATATTAATGCAGAACTTCTATTTATAAACCCATGTATGCAAAACAGCAATGCAGTCATGTTTCATTCAGTGTCCAATGCATGGGTAAGCACTGCTCGAATTGAGAGTTTGATAATAAATATTTCTGGAGAGGAGAGAGATGTCTGATGGCACATTATTTTCTTGTCACTATACAGGCAAGACTGATGAGTTGGACTTTTGCATTTGAATCTAGTAAATTAAAGTAGAACTCACAACGGGTTTACTGAATCAAAAGACAACTACAGTGAGTCCATAATGTTCAGCTTCTCTTACCATTGCCTTGCATAAATTCCCACTTATCCCATATTCTTTTCTGGATTTGTGTTTTGCCAAGGAACCTGAGTACGCAAGATGATTCCTCAGTATTGCATTGCACATCCCTGCTGTGCACAATTTTTGCGTCATTGGCACGCACATGTGTGTGGCGGAGTGAGCGTACACAATGTAGAGATTTTTCTCAAGCCAAGCTCGACAGCGAAATAAATACAGTGACCCCCACTTTTCAATGCAAGAATTTAACTTACTTGAGGTTATCTACGATATATCACGATTTGAAGAAAAGTTTAAAATTCTACTTTAAAACATTTTTATTTTAATGCTCTAAAGAGCACATCTTTAAGGAGTGCTGGATATGTGCGCATGCAGAGAATTCTTAAGTTTGTAATGTAATCATAACTCTTGTTTAACTAACACATGGCTCAAGTAAGTTCAGGCTCTATTTTGTTTTTAATTTCTCTAATAAATTAATCCAATAAGTACGTTTCTTAGAATTTCCAGTGCTCCTTTCTGCTAACTAAGGTTAAGTAATGACAACCTAGTCAGTTGCAAAAGTGCTTTATTAAGGCTGTCCATTTTTAGCAAAAATGAGCCTGGTGACCCCCATTTTTTATTCCATTTTTCTAATATACATATAACACGATTACCAAGTCGATAAAGTTTGAGAAATTTTTTATACTCCTTCTTTTTTTAAATAGAATCACTTTTAATGAAATACAAATTGTTTTGTCACTCTATGAACCACAGGTATTCCAAGTAATTGCAATTTAGTGCACTTCTGACTTAAGCCACTCACTGGGAGGTAATAGGGGTTGGTTAGCAGCTCCATCAAAGTGTCATGTGAATTGCTTGACACCTTTCAATGGGACGGTCAATAAGACAAACAACAGAAACAATGCCTCTACACCAAAACAATATCAGCTGCTACACTATGACAACACTTTTGACATATTTATGCATGGAAATTTAAGATTTGTTTAGGACTCGATGTCAGGATGTCCTTTTTGCACAAAAGAATCATGACTGTTTTGCTCACCTGTAGCCATATAGTGTAAAACTGTAAATTAAGCTTAAGACAGTCCTGAGGTACAATATAATCATGCAGGTTCAGCGTTGATGTTAAATAGAGTTTTTCAAATATTGTTGTGACTGTGTGTTTATATTTTTTATGTTGTTTTAAATCAGGGATATTGTGCGTAAGAAGGCAGTGATGGCATTACACAGTCTCTACATAAAAAACCCATCAGCTATTCCAGATGTGAGAGAACTTGCGAAGAAAAGTGTTGGTGATAATGATCCCGGGGTTATGTCGTCATCACTGCATATCTTCTATGAATTGATTAAGGTATGCAGTTTATTGTAAAAGCTACATGTACATGTACAGTGTACAAGCAGTCTTGTACAGTAGACTAGAATCTGCTCTTTATTGTCAAAATAATGCCCAGGTTTTCCACAACAGATAGAATCAAACCAACTGTAAAATTCACTTGTCCCTGGTTAGCTTGCGAGCAATAGCACACTTTCTTGGCGCTTCTGCACCAGACTCCTCCCACCTGATCACTGCTTTTGCTGACTAGGTCTTCACCCTTTGCGTGTGGGACTCAACGGTGAGCTTGCTTGCAGGCTAGTCCCTGGCTTCTGGTCACAACTTTCTTTGCAAACGGGAATAGCAATTTCTGATCCTACCTTCACGTACCTTGGTGTGAGAGAGATCTGAGACTGACACTGTTAGCCCTAATCACGCTGTGCATTACTGGGGTACTCATGCTGCACTTTGAATCAGATGCACTGGGGACACAGATTTCTGAACATCTCTATGCCATGACATAGTATTCAACTTGAATCTACAATGTAGCTGTGTGGCACCTAAGCCATGAATATGTAGTGTGATGTAGTAAGATGGCAGACATTTACATGTACATTTTGAAACTACAAGTAGCTGCAATGAAATAACCAGAATTCAGGACAACAGAAGAAAGTGTAATAATAATAAGACGAGATCAAAAAGATTTGGATTGTATGCGTACAGTGCACAGTGTACAGTGTACAATGCTGCTGGATTTTTCATGGGCTACACGAAGCAAGATTGCACAATTCCATCAATCAGTTATCTCTAATCAATAATAGCCAAAGCCACAGTCTGCACGATTACAGTGTAAGCTATACATCTCACCAACAGGCCAACCCTGCTGGATACAAGGACCTTCTGCTTGGATTTGTCAACCAGCAGACTATGATACTAGAAGGCAAAATAGCAAAGGACTATGATTATCATGGAGTAGCATCCCCTTGGATACAGATGAAGCTTCTGAGAATATTGGCATTACTTGGAGCAGATGATCAAAAGTAAGAGAAGTGGCTGCTGACGAATGAATATTGTTACTCTGTAGGGACAATTTATGACTTAACACGAGGGAAAAAATGAAAGTAAACTTATCTAGCTTAGACAGAGGGTAAGAAGGAACAAGAAGCGTTAAACACTGTTTTAGATTTCTTTACGTCAACCCCAGTTTCCATTGTGAGCATCGAGGGATATAGGTCTGAAATCAATCTCAGTGCATGCTCTAAACATATAGAAACCAATAACTTGCAGGACATCTATGCAGTTGTACAAATCGTCTTCTTCCTGAACTTTGTTGTATGTTATTAGCACCGTGTACAGTGTAGCGTTGTATTTTTTTTTTTCTTTTGCAGATCAAGCAAGAAAATTTACCCAGTGCTGGGAAAGACTTTGTCAAAGCTAAATACCAACTCTCTTATAAGTTATGGTGGGTCTGAGAAATTGCATATTAAGTAAGCTACCTTTAATCAGGAACCATGGCAAACAATTTAACCCCTTAACATCGCCTGAATACTAAATTTTTAAATATAGTTAAATGAAATTTAACATAGTTAACGACTAGGAGCTAGTCTTGTCTGTAGCGTTTTTGTAGGCGGTTGTTAGTGTCTCGGCCGTCTGTGAGCGTTTGGTTAGTGTTTGATGCGTTCTGTAGCGTTTGATATAGTTCAATGAAATTTTACATAGTTTATGACCAGGAGCGAGTCTGGTCAGTAGCGTTTTTGTAGGCGTTTGTTAGTGCCTTGGCCATCTGTTAGCGTTTGTTTAGCGTTTTGTGCGTTCTGTAGCGTTTGCAACAGCCATATGGTCGTGAGAGCCCTAAGGGCTGGCATTGGTATTTTTGGTTAGTACATGTGTTGTCGTCCCATGTGCTCGCAGTGTGTTCATCGCTCTGTTAGTGTGGCGTTGTGGATTGAATTATAGTTTAGCGGT